AGCGTCATGATGTATATTACCAACATTGGGAACTTGCTATCAAAAATCTGATCTGTGATTGCACCATTGATTTCCTTTCAGGGTACAATCAAAGCCTGCTGTGTTCAGATTCCTAATGTGTCTTATCTGTTGATGACATTTTCATCTTAACCAGCACCTGAACTGACATACCCTTGACTTGGTATGATCAGAACTATTTCTGTACAAGAAAAGTCACTTAAGCAAACTCACGTATTTGGAAAGCAAAGATAGAAGTCAAATGTTCAGCTGCTTACACATCCATTGGTTTGGTCTAAACTTCACTCTAAAGGTAAAAATATCACTGATATGCAAGAGGTTCCTCTTCCCCTTAAACCTCTGAAGGCACTTCTCTCTCAAAGTCAGGAGGTCTTAAGGGAATGCCTGGCCAGGCTGAATTATTGATGTGATGGAAGTCTCCTGTGGAAACAGATGCTTCCAGTTTCTTCCGGTACCCTGCTGCTATTGCTGGAAACAAAGCCATCTTAAAAAAAGAATGTAAGTCACAGGATTCGTGTTCAATGAAACAGTTCAAAGATGTGTTTGATTCATCATGTTTAAAAGTAAATATTCAGCTTTAATACAACACACTGGTGCATAAGACACATTTCACGCACACATTGACCGCTTGGCATTTTCCCCAAGATAACCCACAAATTAAATTGGAAAGCCATACAGCAGGATATATCTTACAGTGGCACTCCTATCCATATCTACTCAGAAGAAGCTCCAATGGGACTTACTCTCAGGTAAGTGTGTATAGGATTTCAGCTTGAAATTTATGGGTGATATCCAGTGCTTTTTCTATAAAATGTGGTGCTGGAACTCACCACAAACACCTCCCTCAATCTCTTAGAATGGCAATAGCACCCACCTGAGAGGTGCCAGATTTGAGTTTGGGTAAGTTCTGGCTGAAAAAAAGCCCTGGCTGTATCCAGCAGCACTGCAGCGGCACAAAGGACGTTTGTCCACTGAACTGAACTTCCTATCTCCCTCCTGTCCCTTCCAGCTCTCTGCAGCCCCTAACAATATCAGCTCTTGTGGGCTGGATGATCAGAGCAGATTTGGGGGAGATTTAGGGGCAGAAGAGCAAACAAAGTTCCGCTTGCAAATAACCCATTATTTCTAAAATGAATATACTGGGAACTTCCTCCCCGAACACCTTATTTGTCACCTCTTTCTTAAAATCCTTTCTTAAAATTCACCTTTAAAAAAAGGCTTTGATTTACCTTATTGGCGGTAATTGCATCTTCTCACAGGCACACGTCTACTCAGAGGCAAGCCCTGCTGAGTTCAGTGGGACTTTCCACCAAGTGAGTGTGTGCAAGAGTGCAGCCTAAATATAAAAAAATAGGGAAGTCACATTTAAACTCATTTTTCAGTTCTTCCACCCATTGTTGAGTTCCATAGTTCTAATATGCCCTTATCTACAGGCACCTGGGATTGAATTGGCACAGCATACTTAGAAGCAAGCTTCACAAGGCACTAAGCAGAACAGGGAAAGGAAAAGCTGTTTGATTAGGGGCCAGAATGTCTTCAGCTTTACAAAAGGCTAGATGCTGCCAGGCTCCCATTTTCAGAAAGCCCATCCTTCAAAATAATAGTATGGATCACCTTGCTTTACAGGCAGATTGTCTAGAGTTAGGCCTCATTCTGTCAAATGTTTTTTTACACGAACTATCCTACGCCATCAAACTATGCAGAATATACAATCATTCAGATGAAAAGATGTGGTTACACTAATAAAACTGCAGTTATTTTTGGTGGTAAGGAGGACAATTTTTTTAAAGAATGTTCAGAGCAGGGTTTGTCATTAGCCAGTTTTCACTGTGCTAGTTCAACCAACAGCCTCGCTGTTAATACCATATCTTATTTGATAAATCCTCTAGCCATTGCAGTAGCTGAAGGGATCATCAATACGACTACAGCTACAATTTTCCAATGTACAAATGCTGGTTAGCTAAAAGCCTGATAAAATACTAATCTGCAAGTTTTTTGGGGGTAGGAAAGAATAGAGCTCTTCACTGCTCCCCAACTGCTATAAAAATAAAGTGTTTCATTTCAATATCTTAGCTTGATATTCTCTTAGATATGTTGTAGTATACTTTGTGGGAATTTACATATTCTGAATACAAGTGTATTATACAGAACAATCACACAGCTACCTTATTTGTTTTCGTCCTTATCTGCCTAAGTTCATTTCTCCTGCCTTCAAGGAAGCCTTGGGGCCCTTATACACAGTATTTATAGCAAGTGCCTTCACCGTCCCTTCAGCTGCTGTTTTCGTATCCCTTACCTTTTCAGAGTTTCTCCCGCATTTCACCCCCTGCCATTGATACACAGCTGCTGCTGGGATTCAATCAGAATTTCCCCCTCAGGAAAATGCAATGCACACACCTTGCATCCAGTAGATAACAGCAATGCCAGCCTGTCTTTTAATTTCAACATTGTCTGTAGCAAGTGCAGGAAACCCAGGGTCCTTTAGCCTCCTCTGCGAGGTTTGTTCTCATATCTGATAATGGCTACTTACTGCCCAAGGAATTGAAAGTGCTCTTTGGAGAGCAGTGCAAACGGGAGGCAGGGCTGTTTGCACTCTCTCCCTGATAAACTGGTCATAATGCTCTGCTTATCAGAAGGAAAAGTGATAACATCAGACAAGGTTTCACACAGCACAAGGCAGATAATTTGAGTTTTTAAAGGAGAGATAGCCATCCCCTAAAGGTTGAAAAGTGAAGAAATAAACAAGATAATCAAAATTCTCTAAAAGTCTGGAGCCCTTTTCAGAACCAAGTATTCCCTTGACTTTTTAACAATGTGCAAGATTTGAGGGGGAGAAATCACAATAATTTCAATTTTTATTTATTTTTTGAACTGGTCAGTCACCAGGCCCGTAAACCAGGTGAACTACATGTTTACCTGAATGTATGTCCCACTATATTCAATGGGATTACTTAATAATATGTGTGTTTAGGTTTGACCCCAAATTAGCAGAGGGATAGCAATGTTGGTTACTTGCAAAGAACAAAAAGCAGTGTCTGGAGGCACCTTGAAGACTAACACAAATGTATTGTGGCATAAGATTTCATGGACCAGGGCCCTTTTCATCAGATAACTTCATGCATTTCATGAAGCGGACTCTATCCCATGAAAGCACATGCTGTAACAAATTTGTGATAAGCCCTTAAGGTGTCACAAGGCACTTATTTTTTGCAGAAGTGTGTGAGAGAGCGCATCTCTTACACACACTCCACACCCAAGCCCTGCAGTTTGTAACAATTTAGGTTGCAGAAAAACAGTCTTCTTGTACCTTAAAATACTTTCTCTCTCCACAAGACTGTTGTTTTTACAACCTAAAATAGGCAGTACAAAATGTAGGACTATGGTGTGTGAGAGAGATCATGTGTACTTGAAAGCTTTCAGCTTTCTTTTACAAACTTTAACCCAAAATGGTTTGTTTGTTTTTGAAGAAAAACCACACATGTAATTGAAGAAAACGATAATAAGGCTAATATGTATCTATTCATAAAACACATTCATAAAGAAAGCACAGTCACGTAAGAAGACTATTTTCAACGTTTACAGCCTGCCCTCTCCCAAACATCTTCAGCGTGGCTCCCAGAACAAAAATGTTAACAACAACAAAAAGAGCAATGCACAAAAAGACGATGCAGCATTAAAATGAAACCCAACTTCTTAATAATAATAAGAAGAATATCATTTCCAGACTAAGTCACAACAGATCTACTTTGGAGCAGCAGAACCACCTACTCCAATGAAACTATTCCTGTGTAACCTGCTTGAACACTGCAACCCAAGAAGCAGGTGTGTGTTGGGTGGGGTGGGGTGTCGAGGTGGGTTGGGCAAATGAAGCGGGGTGCAAAGGAAGATATCGACGTAAGCTTGCAGGCGACAGACAAGAGATCCCAAAACTGGTTGGTGGTCGTAGATCCAGGCGAGTGGGTGGGATGGGGGCGGGCTGAGTTGGGGGAAGTGCCTCCCCCTCGCCCTCCGTCCCCTCGACGGCTCTTGGAGGCCAGCAAGCGGGTCCCCTTCCCTTCCCTTCCCTTCCTGCAGCAGTAGGGGGTCATGGGCGGGGGGGCGGCGGCAACTAGGCCACGTGGGAGGAGGCGGCGGCGGCGAGGGTCTGGTCCCTACTCGAGCAGCGACGCGGGGAGGCGATCATTGCCATCCTGCCGCAATTTCCCTGTGTCATGGCTCCGGTTTCCTAGCAACAGCAGCGAGTCCGGCCGGCAGCGGCGGCGGCGGCGGCAGCGTCGAATCAGCGGCAGCGGCAGCAGCAGCAGCTCCGTCGGGCAGGAGAGGCGAGCGGCTTCCCGCGGCGGCGGCGGCAGCAACCACAACAAGCAGCGGCGCCCGGAGCAGCGTCGCGGAGCGCCTGGAGCAGGGCGACCCCCGTCGGAAGCCGGGCAGGATGCCGGAGGGAGCGGGAGGCGCACTTGGCCGCAGGAACTGCTCGGTGCCGCGGCCGCTGGCTTCCGTGGATCCCCGGCGGCTGCCCATAGCCATACAATCGCGGCTCCTCTTCTAACCGGGATCTGTACCCATGAGCCCGAAGGGGCGCCGGCGCCGGAGGGGGGGCTCCGGGGGGTTGCTTCGCTTTCCGTCCGAGGTGTCCACTCGCCCTGCTGCAAAGTTTCTCCATGGTTTCTCTCTGGGCTCCGAGGAACTTGCCTGCGGCTCCCACGCCCCGCGATTCTCCCCGGTAAGAGAAAAGAGATGGAGCTTCCCCGCTTACAAAATGCTGCCATTTTGAACCGTAAACTCACCCGGGGATCCTCAGCAGCAGCAGCACCCCCACCTCGTCCTCCTCCCTTCTCCCCAAAAGGCTGGGCTGTAGGAATGGGGCTCCGCCAAGATCTCTCTCGGTCCCTTCTCTGCACCATCCTGTCTTTGTGGAGATCCAGGAACATCACTTTGTGATTTCATCCCCTTCCTGAAAAGTGGGGTGGGGGTGGGGAGGGACACACAGAGAGAGCGAGAGCCTGGCGCTTTGAAGGTTATGAAATGAGGTGCCCGGCTAAAATGGTCTCACAAATGGGCGCAGCCGCGCAGGTGACCCCCTTTCAGGCTGAAAGCACCTTGGATGGATTTGCTCCAGGAGTGAGTTTTAAATCTGGAAAGTTGAAAGGGTGGGCTGCTCTTATTCGCTGACTCTCCGGTGCAAGCTTCTTTTTCGCTGCCAGCTTTTTTAGCCCTCCGATCCGCAGTCAGGCTGGCTGCCCCTCATGCAGAGATTGTCAACAGCGTCGCTCGAAAACTCTCTCTTCCCCCCCGTAGGGACTGGCAACTTTGCTAATGACACGATGTAGGACAACAAAGCCCCAGGTATGTCAACCACAAATGTTTCATTAGCCTCTGTCCCTGAGGCAACCCACCCTCCCAGGGACGCAATAATGTTTAAACTCTCGCTGCAAGCAGCTAACTCTTTCCCAAGGGCGAGCAGCTAATTTGTGCAGGTCAGGGTTATTTACCCAAATGGAGCATATTTTCATTTATGCCAGAGAGAACAGCAGAGCAAGTGGCGTAACTCGGTTATTTATCTCAAGATGTTCATCTGTCTTAAGACTTGAAATACAGCTGAAAGCCTGGGAAATAGAGAAGATCTCAATTTTGGTTAACGGAACTATTAGCTGGTATAGATCACATTGGGCTATATATCTGAGTGTTCTCTAAGTCCTGAATTCTTCCAGAATTTGGGCTATTTCCCCATAGCATAATAATTAACAGAAGCTTTCTTTTTAGGAAACCCAATTGCAGGACTCATTCTGTTATGCTCTTCTAATACTGTTTTGCAAACATCATTTAAGCATGTGTTTCCCCATCTAAGTTAATGCGGATCTTAGTCATAGTACTGTATGGTGATTTTTTTTCATTGCATCAGAAGCTGAAGCATGCACACATGGAGATTTAATCAAGCCCTATTAATGAAGTATCTCCCCTCCCCCCCCCATCAATCTACACTCTATAATAGTCAAATCATACCAGAGAAGAGGAGGGAAGGTTAAACTGGCTGTTTAATTACTTTAAGGTGCAGTGTAAGGACTAGGAATGTTTTTGTGAGAAAATGCATGGAGTTGAAATGAATCAGAAAATTGCTGAATCTGGGGATATTTGGGAAATGGGGAGGTTTAGCTGATGAAGGAAATAAGATTATCTAGGATGCTGACTTAACCAGATTTCAAGGCAAAGGATTTTACTTTAGGCAGCATGTTGAACTGATTGCTTTTATCGTTCTTATAATCTATTTTGGACATTCTGGGGAAAGTAAGGAATTCTTTAGTATTTTCAGACTGTCCTGTTGAATATACAGGTGTTGCTTCATTATGCTCAGACTATGAACCCCGATTTCATGTAAATAAATACCTTGCAAATTATTTCAGGCTACTTTGTCAACACAAGAACATGATTTGTTCCCCCCTGGTGATTCAAAGTAGTGCTCCATCTCATTTTAAATCAGGTTTAGCACAGAATCTTTCTGTTTCCATCACATTCTCACATTGATGGGCTGAAAATTCACTGGTGTTACATAACCAGTTACCTTGAACATCATACATGATTCCAATCAGGCAGATGTCCAGAGGATATCCTCACACCTTAAGCATAAAGGAGGATTAGTCTAGGTAGTAAAACAAAATAGATTCAGAAGGAGTTGCTTCAAAGAAACATTTCTAACGATGCTAGATTTGGTTATTTCCTTTGTACATTGACAGCTAAATTTCACATTCTAGTTTTATAAAAGCACACAGCCTGTTCAGTGCAATAAATGCACACATGCCCAGTGACCTAAATAAAACAATTCAAGTTGCCTTTCTAGTATCATTTCCAATGCTTTCTACTGGAAATGCATTTTTCTTTTGCATGGTAGATCACCATACCTAAGTCCCTTGTGTAATGTAACCTTTTGGCCTCATTCAAAGAAGATGCCCTGAGGCTCATAAACAGCTTAGCGACTCCTATAACAAAACAGGAGCCTCCACATTCATAATGAAACAGTACAGATTATGAAAGCCAAACAGTCACTCGTGGTGTGATTAAGGCCACATCAGGCTTCCTTTCCTACCCTTAACCAAGATGGGATGCATTTCCTTATTATTTTACCTTAAGATGCAAGAAAGTGCTTGTATAAGGAACTTTAAAGCATAACCGACTTGTCTCTGTAAACTACTATTGGTAGATCAGTGTAAGGTTTTGTTTTGGATTCTCTTTATAATGTAGCTCAACCTAACCCTTTCATAATCAGCTGATGCATCCATTTTCGACAAACCTCCCACACTTTACCCACAGGGTATTCATTCAGGAAAGTACAGTCTGCAAAACAAGGACAAAAGCTCCATTCTAGAGCGAGTGCTTTCTTCCACCTGGCTCTATGAGTGTGCAGCTGGAGTAGATGGTTAAGCCCGTGTTAACATGGTCAGGGAATGCAGGATGGTAGAAGGAAATCAGGATTTTGCTCCTACTCCTGATTTCCATGTGTACAAATAAACAGGTCACCCTCAGGCTGGCCCATTATTTTTAGACCCATTCTTTTGGCTTCAGTAGTCCTGACTAGATTTAGGAGAGAGGCGAAATAGGCAAAAGCTCACAAGTGAAGTTTGGGAATTACTTAGAGTGCAGCCTTCCAATGAAATATTTGCATATTTATAAGGACACCCTATTATTTGTAGGGTGGAGCCAGCCTGCAGCCTAATTTTTAGTCTACATCAGAAATGAGGAGGGATTGGTGTGGGGATTAACAGACATGAAGTATCAATTCGTTCTTATCAAATAAAATACTTGGCATTTCATGCTCTGAAACTACAGAGGAAATGGGGGACAGGAGCAATTGGAGAACCCAGAACAAACAAGGAGGAAATGAACAGGAAGGATGTGGGGTAGAAGAATGGGACAGCTTGAGAAGGTGTTGGAGGCTACATAAAATGAGGCTGGGACTGTGTGACAGCACATATTGCCCACCTGTGTGTTAAAGAAGAAACCAAAATCCCTGCTGAACCATGGACCTCTTTGTGTTGAATCCATCCCAGTTTCTCATTTCATGAAATATAGATGCTAACACGTTTTGTATTGATTCACACAGAGCCAATGGCAGTGAATCTGCAGGAGTTTGGAGGGTTTCTACAAACCTGCAGGTCCAGGATGAAAACAAACACACAACCACTGAAATAAACTTTGGCTCTAGAATGGGAACTCTCTAGCCTTTCAGATTATGTTGGATTCCTTCCATCTTCAGCTCCAGTCAGCACCGCCAACAATGAGCATTGTAGTTCAGCAACATCTGGAGGGCCACAGGTTCCCCGTTCTTGTTCCAGCTGCATCCCCGCCCCCTGCCCGGCCACCACCCAGTTGTTCAGCACAACAGATCTTGAGAGTGTTTGTGAAGGTGTACAGCACCTTTGATTCTCTGAACATCACCTACTGAGAAAATAAAGGCAGAGGGTATTATTGGGTCAGGTGACCAGGAATAAGTTTTAGGTCTGCTTGCCCAAGGCAATACTTCTATGACAGCAGAGGGCAAATGAAAGCTTGCTCTCTATAGTGAAGTCAATTTAAAACTCACCCCAGCTGACAGACAGGGTAGGGGATATTGGGGCTACCTTTTACCTTTATAGTAGTTGAGCAGAAGTTGGGGGAAGAGTGAAGGACCATCAGCAAACATTTTGTGCAGGACAAAATGAAGGAACATTCACACTGGCATGCTATGGAGTTGGATTCTTGCCAGGGTGGTGATTAAGTGAAAGCTAGTTAAGAGCATGCCATGTGTGGCCTAGTGGGGAAACAGAGTTCTAGGGTAGACTCTTTATTAACAGTGTGGTCCTATATGTATCTGCTGAGAGGTAAGCCCCGTTGAGTTCAATGGGACTTACCTCAGGTTAGTGTGTGTGTATAAGATGTCATATATTTTGTAGTTAAGTATAGTTATATATTTTGGTTGTTCATAGACTGCTTTTCCACATGCATGCATTCAAACCTGTGTTTAACACATAAAAAGCAAATAACCTGAGCAAGTTAATTTAACAGTAATACATTAATCACAAATCTGGTGCTAAACAATAGCAGCAGCACTCAACCAATAAAGGCAAGAAAAACTAAATAAACTCCAAAAGCAAATGCCTTGTCTAGCCACCTAATAGTGAGAAAAGAAGGAGTTTGCCAGATGTCCCCAGGGAAAGAATTCCACAGTTGCTGAGCCACCACTGAAAAGACCCTGCACCTGACACCTGTCAAGCATATGGCCAGTGGCGGCAGACCTGAGAGCAGGGTTTCTGGAGCTCATTGAAGGGCATGGGCAGTTCAATATGAGTGAAGGCAATCCTTCAGGTACTGGGCTGTTAGCAACCTTTAAAGGTCAATAACAGCACTTAAAATTGGGATCAAAAACAGATAGGCAGCCAGTGCAGCTTATACAAAAATTGGCATCCTCTGTTCTGATCACTGAGCAGTGGCCAGCATCGTCATGAACACATTTAGCATCAGCTGCAGTTTCTGAACCATCTTTAAAGGGAGACCCACTTACAAAACATAATAGTCATGTTTGGATGTAACTAAGGCATGCGTAACCAAGGGTAGATTTGCTTTCTCTAGATATGGATGTAACTGGTAAATCAGTCAAAGCTGATAAAAGATTCTCACCTGCACATCCAAAGACAATAGCAGGTTTAAAAGCACCCCCAGAAGGCACACTTGTTCTTTCAAAGCAAATACAACCCTAGCAAGAGCACACTGTCTCCCTATGTCCCCAAACAACAGTTTGCACCTGATCCATACAGCACTGCTCTAAAACATCATGTGGAATTCAGTTAAGGCTGCTTTGCCAGCTATGCTGTCAGCAAGAGGAGTGCTCAGATTCCCTTTCACTAGCCCAACAACTGCCTCTCATCTTTTCTCCCCTTTTCTTTTGTTTGCAAATGCATACAGGGCCTTAATCAACCTTTTATTAATTTATGCTCTGCAAATTAAGTGCCCTGCTACTGTTCAGCAAATGCACAGATAGCGACATTAAGGCCAAGTAGTCAGTTTGGCAAGTGGGTTGCGTCTAAGTGGCTATTTTTGTGGTTAGCGTTAACAGCAATTGGCGGGCTGTTGTAGACCTGCCTCCGTCTCGCACACACGTCCTTGTGTCAGAGTGATTAGTCACTAGTGACTGAGCAGATTTAATAAATGAATGTGAAATGTAATTTGCAGTCTTAAAGGGACTATGCCGTGTGGGCGGCTTTGCAATCTGGATCGTCCCCAGGCTCTCATGATCTTTTTTTTTGTTTCCATTCCCCGTTTTCCTGTAGGAGCCGGAGTATCTGTAGGGAACAGTGCCCAGGGTAGCCAGCCATGATCGCCACTGGAGGCCTCTTGAGGATCTCAGCCAGAAAACAGGATCCCCTGCGGCCTCAGAGCCAAGTCCCAAAGCGCAAGCGCAAAGCCAAAAAGAAACGCAAGAATGACGTGGTGGTGGTAAAGGGCAAGCTCAAGCTGTGCTCCCTCTCCGGCCTCATTGCTCTTTGTGGCATCCTGGTGCTTCTCGTGGGAATTGCCTTGGCGGTAGTAGGCTACTGGCCCAAGCCTCTTTACCGGGCAGGGAGCACTGGGGACAGCCAGTTTTTGCCAGCACATGGGACTGCCTCCAAAAGCCGCCCCCGGAACCAGACGGAAGACCCGGGAGAATCTCACTCAGAAGGCTTGGGAGCCAACGCCTCCTTTGCGAGCAGCAAGAAGGGTGTCGCTCCTTCTCCACCTGCCCCCTCGTCCTCCTCCACTTCCACAAGCTTCCTCTTCCAGCTTTTCTCACGGTATTTGCATTCGGACAAGCTCAAGGTGCTCGGGCCTCTCATCATGGGCATTGGAATCTTCCTCTTTATCTGTGCCAATGCAGTGCTCCACGAGAACCGGGACAAAAAGACAAAGATCATCAACTTGAGGGACCTGTACTCCACTGTCATCGATGCACACAGCCTTCGGACCAAGGATGGGGCGCCCTCAGCTCCTGTCGCCCCAGTTCCTATCAACGGCTTCATCAACTATGTGCAACCTCGAGGGCTGGAGCTGAAACCTGGCAGTGGCCCTGCGGAAGCCCTGGGGGCTGCTGGTGTGCTAGCCAAGGGCAGCTGGCACCCACCCGTGGGTGCCCCTTTGTCTCCTCCAGACTTGGTTTCCTCGCCACGCTCCTCTTCTTTCTCTTCTAGGCAGCCGCAGCCGCCCAGCTTGGCTGAGGCTGTGTACAGCATCTATCGGGAGAGAGCTGCCTTGGCTAGAACTGCTCGTAGCCCACCTTGTAGCCCCCCAGATGGCTGGGACCAGCATAGCACAGCCAGTTCCATTGTGGGTTCCTCGCTCAGCACTTTCACTTTGCTGCCTCTGGCTCAGGGGGAGGCGGCGGAGGGAGAGCGTGGCAGCTGGCGGAGGCCGCTGGGGGAACGAGGGGCTAGGGAGATTCCACGGGGAGATGTGGAGCTCAGCCTGAAAGATCTCAGGAGCAGCTACCTAGACACGGGGCAAGGGTATACAATGCTGCCCAGGGCAGGCAAGCGCAAATTGGTCCTTAGACGCCAGAGCACAAGCTGCCTCCCTGATGCCCGGAGATCCTTCTCCCCAGAACCCTCTCAGACTCTGGACAGTAGCACAGACCTCGAGTCCAGTCTTTTAGTAAAAGCTTCATCTTCCAGCTACTCCAAATCCCTCGATCTGGGGGACTCTCCCCCTCCGACGCCACCTGTGGACAGGAGAGATTCTCAGAGCTCTCAGTGTGATCAACACAGAAGCAATAAGGGCTACACCCCATTGGAGGAGACAGGCACCTCCTTGGAATCTGTTGCCAACACCCCAGCCCATAAAACCCAGGACTGTGAAGCGATCCCCAGTGGGGAATCTGACCCCTCTGAGGGTCCCAGCAAAGAACAAACAGAGCAGCGGCCTTTGAAAGTGCAAAGACAGTACACAAATAAAGAGAAACTTTTCATGATCTCCAGATCAAATGCCATGGCCGGGCTGGAGGAAGGAGACCCGGAGAGCAGAGGCGTGATTTAGATCTAAGCGAAATGAAATGGAGGCAAGCACCAGAACAATTTGTGATCCTTCTGCCCCCTTGTGGATCTAGGAACTGGTCAACATCCAAAGAGCTTGAGGAATGTTCTTGTGGAATGGCATCAATAAATTCCTGTAGATGTATTCAGGAAAGAAAGGAAGAAGAAAAACACCACCACCATCTAACAGGAGTTTGTTCTGTTCAGTTGTGCAACTATATTCCATGCAAGCCAAATTGTATTGCACATTGACAGCTGAGTAAATTCTTTGGATCAAAGGAGTAGAACATTACAATAATTGTGGCACTTTACTGATTTTTTAAAATTCCAGTTGCCCCCTTTCATTCTCTCTCCATCTCTCTTGGCTTTTGCCATGGCACTTAACTGCACACTCTTGTCCTAGCTTCAGATAGAGGTGACTTTCAAGTCAGAATCCGTCTCTTTTCCTTCCTTTTAATGTTTGGTTAGAATGAGGAAGTACTATGGCAAAGGTGGGAGGTGGGAAACAGCTTTAATTTTTGTAAAAGTGTCGGCTGAGGAAAGATTGGAGATGCCCTATGGCCAGCAAGCTGCAATTCTACATTCCTAAATTCAAGTAATATTACTTTATGAAGTATTATTGCACATGTATGAATCAATAGCATTAATAAGCATTTTTAATTTAAATAAAATATATTTACAATGAGAAAGTAGATTTAGCTAATGTTTCATTTCTGACTAAATTCTTATTAATGAAATAAGCCTTGTTTTCAGTGTAGGACTTTGAATTATTATTTTTAAAGACAAAAAGGCAGGGGAATAGGTAGGGGTGTGGGTGGGTGAGTGTTGAATTAAGGAGAACAATGGTAAAAACTTTCTTAAACGAAGCAGAAAAAATGTGGTTGAGTTAACTAATTTAAAACTTAAAAGTCTTCTGCAGGTGGTATAGCATCAAGGCAAAATAAAGCACTTAAATTCCATTGTTTTCAAGGAAAGAGACAGTGAACCATGTGTATAACACTTCTGAAATAAATTAAGTTACAACACAATTCCATCTATGGTGTTTCAGGAGGAAGCACCAAACTAGACATGATGTTAATTGCATGCATGTAATGAATGCACTTAAAAATAAACAAACAGAAGCCACACACACCCTCCCTGGTGCATGGGTTGTTCCGTGGCTGGGGAGAGGTTAACCCTTCCCTTCCTGTCATGCTAAAATCCTCCTCAGTTGCATCAAGACAGTGTCTTCACCCACTGTGGTCCTGATGCATATCAGTGCTATCCCCAGCTGCTGTTTACACTGTTATTGTTATTATTTTATGCACGTTGACTGCATTCACACAATTAACATCAAATCTAGTCTGGCCCTTAGTTGCATTGTGTTGGGTAGGCCTCGCTCCTAGGACAGTGTGCATAGGATTAAAAAAGTGAAAAATGCGTAACTTTAATAAATATTTGCTCTTAGGATTGTAGCCTTGTATCCTGGTACTAGGTGCACAATTTGGAAATGTCCTACTGAAATGAAAGAGATTGAAGTCTAACTAATTTGTGAGGGACAGGGTAAGATTGCCAGGTTAACTTTTAACATGTTTTAGCAGTTATGAGATGCTTTTAGTATCAGTTTCATCCCACATGCATTTACAAAGACAAAGTAGAACACCTGAGAAGTTGTCCTAGCAAGCATTCTGATGCAGCCGGTACCAGCTGGCCTGTGTCTCCAGAAATATTAGCAAAGTGACACCAAAGAAGGTAAAGTGATACTAAGAAGGTAAAATGCCAGTGTTTTGGATATGGTACTTAGCCCTGATTTCCATAGGTATATCCACCCTCCTTTAGCATTTATTCATTGGTGGCTGTTTCATGCATGCAAGGCATCCCTTAATGTTGCAGTCACAAAGTGATGAATATACATGCATGAATTCAGCCTTAGGTGGGGTTTATTAGATGGTGCTGAGGCAGACAGGAGAGGATGGAACATCATGTGTGCAACCAGAGAATAGCCCAAACCACAGTATTCGTGAATTATGTATATCTGTGCTTTGAAGCTATGGATATGTACTTGGAAGTAAGTTCTATCAAAGTTAATGCATTCAGTACGTTTAGATAATGTGGTGCCAGCCTATACCAGTCCATATCAAACTATACCTTGATTAAATCTGTCTATCTGGTGCCTATTTGATTATGGATTGGACAGTAAACTACATTTGAAGTTAGTATTCTGACATTTTAATTGGGATTTAAAACAGGGTAGGGCTTGGGTTTTCGTTTTGCCCGTTAACATAAATCGTATGAGCAATAATGTGCAAATAAAAAAAAACTTTTTTGAAATTCTGGGGAATGGAAATGCTAAACGTTAATTTGAGACCTCAGTTATCAATGTTGGTCCCCCCCCCTTTCATTTTTTTAAAAAAATCTGAAAGATCTGAGATTTAGGGCAGGCTTATGCTTTGAAACCACAGGGAACAATTATGAATGGGTTAGCTCCATAGGCAGCAGTAATATGTAAAACAGCTTGCTCTGATTATGGATAGATTTTCTGTGCCAGCCCCAAGAACAACCAAGAATATGCAGTTCTTGTGTTAATCAATAATATGTGGGTGATCAACATGATCCATTGCTTCCACATGCTGTGTTGGTCCCGCAGAGCTATATTTTTGCTGAAGCATTCCTAACAGCTTCCACATGGTGACTGTAACCTAAGAACTGGCCCTTGGTAATCAGATTCCATTACTATCAGTTCATTTCAAATAAATACTTAATCTCAGAAATTGTATGTTAAAGTTTCTTTTTGAGATGCTGCTCCAAGGAAAGCCCCTTTCCCAATGTAGACTGACCACTAAGTAAGCTGCTCATCTGAACATCAACACAGTTCTCAGTGAAATTCATTTCCATGTAAACAGCTTAGTTCCCCTACAAGTCAATGCCAACGGATAAGCGCTCGTTGTTGCAGTGTGGCACAACACAGTGGTGTACTGTCATTGTGAGTCAACCAGTATCATCACAACAGGATGAGTAATTAGTAGGTGTGGTGCAATATAGTTACAAAGTGGTATGAAATTAGAAAAATGTTACAGAATTAGTCAACACAGAGCCAACTATTTTGACACAAGCTGATATTCTCATACTACCAGCCCATTCATATGGGATTGCACCCGAGAAGCATCAGGAATCTGCACTCAGCCAGGTTGTGGTTCTGGTCTAGATGCAGATATCCAGGAGCACCAAAGCAGTACATACATTATACTCCAGTCTGTGAAGGCATCCATTTCCACCACCTGTACTACTGAACATCTGGTTTGTAGGAGAAAGGAGGGCTTCTTGAAAACTACTGCTTACATCCAGGTCTGTAGCTCAGGATGAGAGTCAATTTGAATGAATGCATCTGACTATGAAACTGTAAGCAATAATCACAAACAAACTGTAGGTATACAGTAGTTTGAATTCTGATAAGGATTGCATTTTTCTAATGGATCCATCCTTTCCCTCCATATATTGACAGCCTGTGCTTAGATGGATGGGTTAACAGCTTGCATTCTCCCTGTCAAACATCTGTAATATAAGAAGAGCCTAGCTGGATCAAGCCAAAGGCCCATCTATTCTCACAGTGGCCAGCCTGATGACCATGGGGAAGCCTGCAAGCAGAGCATGAATAAAACAGCATTCTCCCCATTTGTGACTTTCATCAACTGGTATTCAGAGTCATGCTGCCTCAAGCAGTTGGGGTAGAACATAGGCATTCTGACTAGCACCCACTGATAGCCTTATCCCCTAGTGCTTCACTAATGGCACTCTTAAGCACATTTCTCTGAGATACCTCCACTGAGATTGCCCTGCTGCTGCAGCTCCCATAATCTGAGTGGGCAAGAGGGTGGCAGGGACGAAAATGGCATCAGCAAACTATGAGCCAGGCCCAAGGGCTCAGCTGCTCAGTTATTTCAGGGGCAAATCTCTGCAAGGAGGTTTAGAACTATAAAAATAAGCAAGACAAAAGGAATGGATGATTGGAGCATTAGATTGCAATCCTATAGACACTTAGGTGGGATTCAGTCCCAATGAACACAATGGGAGTATTATGCACTGATAGTCTTCCTCTTATACAGTTTTTCAATTCAGGCATCTGCATAATTTTAACATATCCCTTGGGTGTTAGTTCTTGCTTTGTTAATGCTTTAGGGGAGACTAAAAAGCATGGGATGCTCTAGAGAACCACCATATCATCTTCTTCTGGGTCTTACTAATTCATCTTATCACGTAGCCCGCAATCACCACAGTGCCGTCATCCCTTGGGACCCTGCAACAGCCATTCCTGTTGTGTGTATTCATCATACAGTTTCATTTTGCTGTTCACTTCTCTGAGCAGAGCCTAGTCCCAAAGACAACCCGTGTCTTATTAGTGAAGAGAAATGGAGATTCATGCTGTCCTCTGTAACCACAACTGTTTATTTACAGTTTCCAGGACCAACCCAATAAATTTTGCTGCCTGAGGTTAAGGACAAGATGGCAACCTTCCCCCCAGTCTACAAAAGCCAACCAGACTGGCAACTGAGTCTCTTGCATTCAACATTAGTGACAGCACAATATCCTCTACCACACTGAGGGAAGCAGGCTAATTTACAGGAGGCATAGTAGTCTTCATAGTACACACAGAGCTATCTTCCAACACCTTGCCACCCCCCCCCCCAGTGTTCACTGCCTAAGGCGACTGCTTTACTCTACCTAGTGACAGAGCTGGCCCAGTCCCTTTTGCATGTTGGGCAAAGGGGCAAGTACCAAGCATGCACATTGTACTAGCCCTAGAACAGCACCAGTTGCTAAAAAGCAAGACCATCCTCTCACCCAAGACTCCTTGCCAGTCAGAAGGGAAAACTCAAAATATGTTTCTTTGGCCAGATTTCTTGGGGGGGGCAAAGTGTGGGGGGGATATCTCTGAAAAACGCAACAAAACACCCACTCCTTCAACTCCCTCACATCTGATGAAGTTCAAAGAGGCAAAAGGGAAGACAAGGAAGACAAATCCTCAGTCAACAGCGGCTAATTAGTGACAGAGTAAAATTCTTCCGAAGTCCTGCAAAGCAGTAGCAACTAGCAATGGCTCAGTAAGTCAAGTGTTAAGGGTGAGAGAAAAAGCAAAGACAGGGGCCATTTGCCAATAGCTCCAGGAGAAGCAGCCGAACAAAATAAAAATGGCTTCATTCAAAACTGGCATCAGTAATACAGTGGTACCTCAGGTTACAAACTTAATTCATTCCGGAGCTCCATTCTTAACCCGAAACCATTCTTAACCTGAGAAGTGCTTTCGCTAATGGGGCCTCCCACTCCCACCGCACCACCAGCGTGCATTTCTGTTCTCATTCTGGGGCAAAGTTCTCAACCCAAAGTACTACTTCTGGGTTAGCGGAGTTTGTAACCCGAAGTGTTTATAACCTGAAGCGTTTGTAACCTGAGGTACCACTGTAGTGGCTTCTTTTGCCCACCCCACCACTAGCCTCATCAGTTCTTCCCTCAACGAACCCTCACTTCTGCAGATACAGCTTAGTGTTCTGGAGGAAACAAATGGATAATTCTGAGTAAACTGTCTTTCCCCCCTCCTTCTACACTCCCTTTTAGGCATAACACAGGTCACAAATGCTGGCAAATGAGAGTGACTCATATTCTTCAAAAACCTCTACCTTATGTTAATTCATTATCTGTCCCTGGACACTAAACAGGACAAAATGACTCAGTATAGTGACAGACAGACCGACTGACAGACAGACAGACAGACAGACAATAGCAAGGAAGTGAGGCTGAGGCATTTACCGTATATCTTAAAGACAGATTATGCTACAGCTTTATCCCTGAAACAAAAAGATGTTTTATTTTAAGAGACAAAATTAGAGTTCATATTCATTCGAATAAGAACCAACATCTTTAGGACAGTTGAATTTTCAGACTTCCACAGGCCATTTGCTCTGGAGGGACTTTTCTTTTATGCACCTGCTCTCTGCATGTCGACATCGCCCTGATGGGCCTACGGGGTGCTGGTGGGCAGATGGTTCTGTGCCGCAGCAGGAAGCAATAGGCCGTAATGGCCATCTGGTCCCTTCCAGTTCTACTCGCCATGCCATGAAATAAATTGCTCAAGGATCAAAGCTTGATGACCCAAAACTGAGAACGGCAGTGCAAACACATTGATGTGGCAAATACTGCTGCAGCAGCATGGCCAGGGCAGCAAGCCAGTGCCAAAGTTCAGGAAGGGAGCATAAATATTTATGGTGGTACCAATATATTTTTCTTCACAAGTGGCTAGATGAAAAGTTACGGCTTAGTGTTGTGGAGGAAATGTGCCATAGTTTATTCCAATAATGTGCCATTTAATAACCCCTTCTAAACTAACTTACCAACATGATCTTCAGATAGCTGGGCTGCTCTCCCCTGCTCTTAATCCCAGCCTCGGCATATCAACCGTATCCAGCACAATATCCAGTTATTTTTTAGCTTCTCATTACAGCATGGAACCTTGCAACAGGAGCATGTGAATATTGAGAGAGAAAGTCACCTTGCAGTGACCCTTTCACTACACAATTTATTATGTAAATTGGCCTGCAGTGAATGCAATTCAAAAGGCTAATTCAATGACCCAACTCCAATTTTATGTTGATGAAAGAGCACATGTCTCAGGCCACGTCTCCTTGCAGCTGTAATGTACAAGCCCTCTGTCAGGGCTCCTTGCACATTTGATTCACAATAGAAATTGGGGGTGTGGGTGGGGGCGTTGTGTAATTAAATTCAACTTATATGCCTGAGAACATTTCCTGATTTATTAGCAATGCTGTTAGTTTTGACTGAGAAAGATGTGTTAGGAGACTGGAGAGCTATTTAAAGCAAAAGAAGAATCTTTTCTGAGCATTTCACTAACAACATGATAGATATATTCCATATTGCTGACTTTTATTTTAATCGCCTGCCAGAATGCAACAGCGTGTTGAAGGATGATGCGTCAGAAAGAGACTGTGATTCCAAAGCACTATTAGAAATCCCTGAAGTCCGCAAAGAACACAAGCAATGGAGTGAAGAAATATTTAAGCTGGCAGCAAAAGTCCATTTTTACAACTCATTTATTCATAGAAATCTCTCCCTCTAGTTTGCTATGTTTATTACGCAATATAAACACAAACTGAGAAAGGTAGAAGTAGATTTGGCAAGTCTGAGCTGAAGAACTGTGGGATCTGGTCATCTGTTTGTTCAACTCTGCTTCAAAATGTCACACAATTTCTACATGAAGCGCTCAGTCTTGATGAATTTACCATATAAAGTATATGTGATGATGGCACATATATCACTTCTGTTATTCCATTTTGTACATCAACAGCCTTTTCCATAAAGCAATATGGTAAAGTGCAGTGATCAGCCATCCATAGTTTTCATGCTATTTCTCATGTGCTTGACCACACTTCATATTTAGTTGGGGTGATCTGGAGTTGTCTCATCCTGATCCAGCAGAAGCCAAAATCAGCGCAAATTTGGTCAACTAAGTTCTTATCCACGCTTAACTTTTGCCCTACTCTTTCCATGCTGGGGTCTGGACATTAACACTCTGTATGCAATGTGGATTTTTTATTTTGTTGTGTTTTGACCTGATCTTTCCGGGCAAAAACTCACTCTTTGAAGCTGAATTGGAGCAAACATCAATTTGGGTTTTCTGCAGATTGTTTTTTTTCTCCAATTGAGCTTTAAAGAGTGGGTTTTCACTGTGAAAGCATAGGAGCATGAAAAAAAAGGGTGCTCA